GAATGTAAGCGTGTTATGTAAATAGCCACCTTTGAATGGAAATTCTGAATCTATTTTATCACTATTATAGACTACAAAACGAAAATATATAGCTATTTTGTTTAATGAAACATATAGTCAAATATAAACTTGACAAATAACTCGATAATTGCCAATTTCTTATGTAAAATATTAATAATCTTACTAATATTATAAATGCGAATGTTGGGATATCTATCCCACGGACGAATGGATATTTTTTGAATGTCCGGACCGGCTGCATAGATCTCACTGAAATTCGGCATACATATAGAACATAACCTAGAAGAACACATACTTAATATGTTTTTTTTAAATTTCGCACGGACGGAGTCACAGGCAACAACTAGTATATATATAAAAATGTGCGAACGTTGTATGTATCACGACGTTAGTCTATGTATTCTTAATGCGTTAGTTAAACTGTATAGTTAACGGCTAGACTTCCGTCTAAACTGGACTACGTTCAGTTCTAGACTTTTCTGTCTTACAACTAAACAATTTTGATGTGTAAATTACAAAACATGACAAAAGTACGTACACTATTTGGAAGATTATTCGATGTTATTATTAAAAACGTTGAATATTTCTAATAGCTAAGATATCTTCAATAAACAGAAATGCTATTATGCTAAATGCTACTATATGATAGTCTTCAGGGTATTCAGCTAATGCAGCAACTCCCAAACTAATTCTGAGCAGCTTTGGCATGCGATCCGACAAACAGAACATCCCGAGTTTCGATTTGTATCATAAAAATGTCTTACAGATCAACCGCCAAATTTCTTTAATAATTAACTTTAAAAGTGGCAATTAAAAGTTAAAAAGATAATTATAAAATGACGTTAACACAAAAGGAAACAAAATTGTGAACAATGCCACCGATTTGGACTCACAAAGTTAATCGTTGTTAAACTATTTAACTATCTTAAGCATTTGTTTTTCGTATGATGAGATATAACAAAAGGTTTAACGAATGGTAAACATAGGATTAAATTCAGTTGTCTTTAATGTATTGGTTAGCATTGCTAATATAGGTTTTATTATATGGCTATTATGAATGGATTTTAATTCGACTTAATGTTTATTATGTTTGAAAATGTATTTAGTTTTGACGTCAGATTGCTTTTATACATTAAGCATAACTTACTTTCAATGTCATCATAAACAATAATAATCTCAAAACATTTACTTAAACCTATAGGTATAATTTGTAAGAACCCTTTGGTATAGATAAATTGCCAAGGATCTCATTTCCTGTCGGAGTACTTATGGAGTATTTGTGTTTATATTTAACTTAACTCATTCCTTAAAAAAAGGTACAGATTACCATGAAGGATTTAAATAAAAAATTGTGCCTTGAATTACATTTACTTACCCATTATCTGTTCGTGTTTACATTTTCGACGTAAACACGAATAGTATACGTTGTTATTACAAATCGAAAGTAAAAAGACGTCAACGACAAAAAATAAGTATATTTAACATAAACAAATAGGATTTTCTGATAATACCCTATTTAACATTCAGGACATTGCGTACACGTCTGAATGTTCATACAAGTTGCGCGTTGATGTCCTTTTTAAGGCAGATATTCTAAGTTATATTGGAACACGCACGAATAACATACGAACTTAAGAACTCGCTTTTTATATATTTTAACCGTTATCTGTGATTGAATTTATCTAACTGTTAATCTTGATGTATTACATGTGCCGCAATAGATACATTTTAATTGATTATAGTATGTTATTGATGAAACAACGTAAAAAGTAGTATTGAAGGTAATATTAAATTATATCGAAATATCGCGTACAAAGTATTATTATTATTGTTTAGAATCAAATTAAAAAATGCTTGCTTATGCAAAATTCATTATTATTAAGTTATTCAGTATATTACGATTTTCTTTTATATGTCGTTGATATTCAAAATAATGTGTGTATTAAAAACTATCGATAATACAAAGTGGCAAAGAACGGCATTTTTATAAACACGTTCGTTGAAGCTGTGAAGCCTTGTACCGCCCCGTACCATAGAGCGCCTCTTAAGGCCTCCGCTTTAAGGAGACCCTATTTTATTACTAGAAACTAGAAAGCCGCACTACTTATATGAATAACTTACCCTCTTTCACGTTGATATGAATCTCAAAATCCTTTAAGGGCACTTATACACAAAACACAAGTGAAAAACATGTAAAACCTTTTTTTTATATCACCACCGATTCGAACACAGGCACTTTTAACGAACTTACGGTGTTGAGAAGTACATGGCGTGATTTAAGCCAACATTCACTCAATAATAGAGCCTCTAGAGGCACATACGTGAAGAACGATTCAAACCAACACTTATAAATGACACAAGTTATTCCTGTAGCGATCCTTACGGTACCTGACACGAATTGTGACGTGTTTAACACAACATTGATGAATTTTGACCGTTAAAAGCCGGATAAAACAAACGCCGTGGTACGTTGTTAAGTTAAAACTAAGTCTGAACAGACCGTTGATCCAGTTGTACGGTCGATACGGCAGTGAGCTGTTTTACCGACGCGTTACCTCAAACATACGTCATCAACCGTCTCATTTGTATGTTAGCTAAAGAAAGAGATGGCGTTATCGCGTCTTACAATAGTGGGAGAAGATACTCGTACCTGCACAACGAAGCCTCTTTCATTACACATAGTAACAGGTGAATAAACGATATGTGTGAGTGTTGTTGCGAGTTTTTGTCGTAGTGTGAATGTTTTCTCCACTGTGGTGAAGTGATAAAATGGTATTTTGTTCGATGCTATTTTATCGGGCCTCTGCCACGGTAACGTTCTTGCCAATATATAATTAGAGGTAATTATTGAGGTTAAATGTCGCTTTAAATGTATCTAGGTTATGAAGATTTATCGCTTTAAATTTTCGATTTGCGGCGTGTTTAAATTATATCAAAGGTTAATAAATTACAGTGATTGACGATAATATTAATTTGTAAACAGATAGGTAAACTTTGACTTAAAGACCACTTTAGCAAAAAGAAGATATTTTTTAAATATTTAGAGCATGTAATTTTAAAATGGAACGTGTGTTTTTTTTAACTTTAATGCACAGAATATAGATGTACGTTATAGATTATAATTTTTTAAACAAACTTATCAAGTTAGGATATTAACTAAGTTGTACTTACATTATTTAAAGAAGTATATTTTATTGCAGAAATTTCCCACGAATGAATATAACAAGACGACTTAAAGCATAAAGTCACCGTATAAAGGCTGAATAACACAGGATGTTTTATTTATGAAAATTAATCTTGATAATTAATTGTCAGTTTTTCATTGACACTACTTCGCGTACGAGTTAGTGGTGCGCCGAAAAACATTGATAAAAACCTTGCAGCGCAACACTCCGTATATAGAACCTGAACATGTTCGACGACGTAACTTTTTCGTATCATAAACATAAATTTAAGTTTCCTGTTCGGTTGGTATTACTACATAAGTGATACGATTCACTTCTCTCTTCTTCTCTCTTGAATAAATTCTCTTGATTGTGTATTTTTTGATATAAAAGTCACTAAGATATCAGTCCGAATAGCTCTTGATGCCTCTTCCAAGGTATGAGTTGCAATTTACTTCAAAAAGATAATTACGATTACAAAGCTTATTATATTTCTATTAAAATTGTATTCATGATTACTTAGTTATTCTACGATGTAATAAAAATCAAAATGATCGGATCCACAGCTTCCTCTTTTAATCGTGAACCTTATCTGAATTCATTGTTTTTTAATAAGACGTCTCCGGAGACTCATGAATAAATATCGTAATTAGATTTCCGATATAACGCTCGCTGAGAAAGGACGATCTGTAGAAGGAAAACTAATAATGTCTAAAACCAGAGCCGTTCAATTCGGATGGAGTGCTTCTGCTCATTAATCCTTATCCATCAGTAAACTAATTACGTGAGAAAAAGTTACAAGAACAAATCGTTTGAAATAGAATTTATCGAGAACAAAACGATGCTTTTTTTATTGTAAAAGACATTAAATATGAGTTCTTTACATACAAAATATATTTACTAAATTACTTACTTATTGTTTGTAAAGCAAATGATGAGAATAACATCCCATGGTCTGTTTCCGTTCAGTAATGAAGCGAACCTTTAATAGTAGAGTGAATAGATTGTTAAAGTGCGAACCATCTTTGGACCATCGTCAGTAAACATCCGGTGGGTTTATTTAAGTGTTTTTTGTATAAATCAAACTCATTACAGAAATAGTAATTGTTCCTTTTGACTACTAAAACCTTGAAGAGACAAAGTGTAATATGTGAAGTGTCTTGTTGCCAGAAACAAATAAACGAGGCAATTACGACAAAGTCAAGCCGGTAAATAAATACCGCCGGCATTTCTGCACTGCGTCACGAAACTTCGTGATAAGTTCCTCTCCCCATGATTGTGGGAGCGCCCGCCTAATTATTACAATGATTAAAAACATGACGTACAGTCTGCCACTTTTATAAGATAAATTGTACAAGAGAAAATTGTTCTATAATCAACATATACTAATTTATATTATAACTAGACATTGTCCGCGAGTTAGTCTGCACAGAATTAAAAATTTCTACTATGTGTTAAACCGTTACGGTGTTACCTAGTAAATATGTAAATTAAACTATACCACGGAAACCATACAGAGTTCTTTAAGATTTCTACATATGTGCCAAATTTTATCCAGATCTGTTAAAGGGGTATCCCTAGAACGGCTCAACAAACATCCATCTACACATTCGCATTAGTAATAATGGTTTACTTCGTGTGAAATACACAATTCGACACTTTGATGTGATGGTTTGAACTTACAGTCGAAGTCAGAAATGTTCTAATATTATAAATATTATTCCCACAATAATCATTAGTAAACAAACACTATCATAACTTGAAACCAAACTTAACATTATGAAAAGTTGAACTCAATTATAACTTATAACTTACCGACATCGACGTACTTGAGTACAAACTGCACTTCAGGTCCCAGCGCCTCCGCAACTTCTAGTGGTAGCTCCGAGTCCCGCAGCACGTGCACTGAAATAAACAAAACAACTTCAATAAACAAACTCTTATACAATACTAGATAAGTTAACCGCATCTTAAAAGTTAAAAGAAGTCATACCAATATTTCACATTTAATTTAATTTTTTTTAACTTATACTGAAACTAACCCACTACTCCGTCCGCCTGGAATTAAAAAAAAAAACTTTATTAGTAGCCTATGTGTTCATCTAGACTATGTTCTAACAAACATCCATCCATCCATACATAAATCCAAACAGTCGCATTTATATTAGTAAGAAGTAAGATAGGTACAAAATATGTCGTCTATCTTTAAACCAAAATTAAATCGCTTGTAAAGTGACCTGTATTATTATGTTTAAATATTATTTAGCGTTATGAAATAAACAAGGCCATTTTATTTACTAAGGCAAGTTAATTAATTAATATCGTGCTATACGTAAGCACAGTGTAATTTAAACCTTTTTCAAAACGGAAAACGGTGCCCATTCATTTTATTGTTAAGTCCATTGTGTTCAAAAACGCCAGCACTTAACTTCTTTTTCACTTATTTTACCGCATTTTAGTTTAATAGTGCCATAATAGTGGTTGTTATTCATAAAAAAAACAAATAATAAACTTAGAAAATAAGTACCCATAGCAAATAACCTACAACTAGATGAGCTAGTGTCACTATAAGCCATTTCAGTAAATAAAGAATCACTACTAAGCATAATTTTAAAAAATATTGACCTAATTTCTTTATAATAAATTTCTGGTGTGAAGCTTTTTGCTTTCAAATCAGTCCCTAACAGGACATCACAAAGAAATGTCAAGTCCCACTCCTAACAATGACATTTTGGTCACAACAAACAACGTTCATTATCTTCGAAGGAAATTATCTGGTTTTTAAATTGCAAAGGGAAAATAACTCTGCTCTTTGCGATCTTTTAAAGCTCATTACGTAACAGAGGGGACCACTTTTATTCAGACCCCAATCTGCCCAATTATTTGACTCAAAAGACAAACAAAAATTTCCGCAGTCGCACAACAATACATCTTTATATCAACAATAAAGCGCATATGCACGCAATTTTAATTAATGTGTCGTGGACAAAAGAAGTAATTCCCACGATAGTAGTATGAAAAAAGTAATTAAACTTTTCACGGGGCGCCTGTGCGAAACATGAAAGCAATAATTATCATAACTTACGACATAATTGGCGAAACTATTTTAAAGTTAACGGCGCTGTAAAACAATTTATTATATTAACGTAACAAGCTATCGGACGAGGTTACAAGCATAATTGCTGCACTGAGTGTGTAATAAAATAAAATCAAGCTCAATGTGAAAGTGAAGGTCGGGTTAACGACTAGTTATAGTACGTTCCCAGGCCGAACTAGTCAATGTACCCCTTTCTTCGTCGCGTGTTTACTTGTATCTTTATATTTCATCGAATGTGAGTTCATTATGCCAAATTATGGTCGTTGAATTGCAATTTTCAATCGCATGCTTCCTTGACGAGCGACTCCATTAACGTTCGTTCTTGTATGTGCCTGCTACAAAATAATTATGTGAAAAAAAAACTCACTATCTTTAAACTTGAAGATAAAATCTTTGCAAATGAAATATTAAACATAAAAATATGTAAGGCATAGTAGGATAATGATTTAGGTTACGGTCTGCAAAATTTATGAATTATAAAGAATATAATAATTGAACCAGGCACCACGACACGTCTAAACTCAGGTGACGTGAAGGCCCCGTTTTTATTACTTTGTAATTATATCATAACATTAAAAAAAAATAATTAGAAAAAAGATTTAAGTATTGCTTAAACTTCGTCTTTAAAGTCATCTTATTGATTTACAAGTTTTCACAACTTTTTTTAACATTTGCATACTTAAGTTCAGTCATCAGATTACAATAATTTAAATCAATTATAGCTGTCACATTCCTTGTTGTTTGGTGGTCATGAGAAAGACTGCTTATTATGAACGATAAAACATAACCAACCTGTCAAGGTGCTGCGAACAAGCTAAATAAAAAGTGGGTCAGACAATTTACGATGTCTCTTCTCTGCCCACCTCATTAGCGTAATACGGTCGTGACATTTTTTATACCATTAAGTAACAAGACAAGTGGGACGTTCACGTAATGGTAAAATATTATAACTACGAGGTACACATTCTTTAGGGCAGTAATTCTACGATTCTTATATTTGACAAAATATTACTAAGCACTAAGCTAGCTAATCTAAATCTCACCACAATTCAACCACACAACTCTTGTTGAGTCTCTCTCCTCAACTCAAAATCACTCAAAATGCTCCATTCGCAAAGCTTTCTGCGAGCAAATTCTATCTCGCGTTTAATTAGATTATTTAATTAAACTAATTTTTATAAACTTTCACTCTATGGTGGTCTTTGTGATGTCATCGAACTCATTTGTATTATTTGACAAGAATATTAAGAGCATATAACCCTTATGTTCATTTCGTATAGTAGTATACCATACATACAACTTTATAAAAATATACGATCACTATAAAATAATTTATAACTTCGTTTTTTTTTAAACTTTGTTTTTTGCTTTTCTTCAAAAACGAAATCTTACCACAATAAGGATTAATTAAAATTTAAAGAGTTATAATTCTGCTGTATTTTAAACATTATAATATGAATAAAAAAAAATATTGCAACGTTTGTGCACCCTGTATATGAAGGTATGAGCGAGCTCACTAATTTGCTGTAAACAAAAAAAATGTAACTTACCTACCGTTTCATAGCGTAGTACCAAAGTGTCTGTACAAACCCGCAATGGGTTTATAGACACTTTTATTGTAAATTTGTATTTCATTCCTTGCTTATATAAATAAATAAAAAAAATACTTTAATTAGTATAAAATTAACCCTTACACAAAATTGCCGCAAAAAATAAATTCTCCAGTTAGAAAGGCAATTTAGGTTGAATCACGTTTATTTTATTTGCTAAAGCTACAAAGAGCATAATTTATATATTTTTCCTCGTTTTTAGTAACCTTCCAACCTTCGACTTTTGACCTCTAACGACCAGAGATTTGTATGATTATTAACGTTGGTTAATTAATTTTTTTAGACTATTTAACGACCTAATTAAATAGAAACTTAACATTTTTGAGTATTTTCCATATCTCTAGGTTACAAATGGCCGTAGGCAACGTAAGTTTTATGTGACCTTTGTTCATGTGCGAAAGATTGAAAAATCCGTTGAAAACCTGTGTGTAAAAGAACCCTAAAACCAATGATATTAAGGATATGATGAAGTAAACCTTAGTTTTTTGTTTGATAAGAAAAACCTATTGTAATTTATATTACAATGAATGAATTACTATAACCTTACTAATATTATAAATGCAAATCTTTAGATCAGTCTCTCACAAAGTGGGCGATAACACCCCCTTGTCGGCTCTGCAGGTCTCAAGTAGCGGGTTATAGTAGAATTCTCCGTTAATATACATATATAGATCACATTAATTAATTAATTTAATTTGAAGGTATAGTGGTTTTTAAAAAAATATTAATTCTCAAAGTGGGCAGTAGACAAAATAAGTTTGGCAACCACTGGTTTAGATGGATGGATAGATGTTTGTTGGAAGGTATAATCAGAACGGCTGGACGGATCTCGATGAAATTTGGCAAACATATAGAACGTAGTCCAAAAGAACACATAGGTTACTGATTATGTTTTTTTTTTAAATTACGCGCGGATGAAGTCGCGGGCGACCGCTAGTAAGGAATAAGTAAAAGTTGTATTAATAAGAATCGTACCAATTTAAAAATTCTGCTATCGTGGTTTAAACTTTTTCTTGGTATAATTATCAAAAAAATTGAAATTGTATGAATGAAATTTATTCACGTATTGTCCAATAAATAAAGTTCAATAAGTGCTGCGGGCGTCGTCGGTGAAAACAAAAGAGCCGGCAAAGGTTTTATGTCCTTAGCGAGAATTGCATAATGATATGACCCTTTATCGGTAGTGTTCTCCGTACCCGGAAATTGCGTGTAAATATGTATGTATGGAAGTGGTAATCAATTGAGAAGGGAACGTGAGAAATCGACAGAATACGATACCAACAAATCCTATAGGTACAATTGTAATTTGCATCGAATTTTAATAAACACGAAAAAGAAATAAAAAAAACCGTGTAGGGCTTTTGGTATGGGATGTCACTGGAAGAGTAATCTACATCAATGACATTACATAAAGGTGACGTATGGTGTACCAAAGAATTTCTTATATACATACTCATTTAGTTACCTCTAAAAAAAGTTAATAATTGAAAAAGTTAATTATAAGTAAGGAAATGTCGAAGTAAGCATTATAATGAAGGTACAAGTAGTTCACTCGTCCACCTCGCAGTGTTACGTCGAAACAATTTGAACTGAGGTGCGTGGAAGAGTGAAAATTACATTTCGGACATATCTTTCCCACGGGCGAATCCATGGTGAAAAGTGTTACCATGGTTACCGATACCTCTAGGATATTTAAAAAAAAAGTAATTCCAAAAAAATATGTAGTTTACCTAAATTTTAGTACTCTTTTGATTTCTGTATAGTTTAATTTAAACAAAAATTAGTAAATATATGGCTCCTTCCCGTTGGGCCGGTTGGCCTAATGGAAACTGTAACACGAACACTGATTTAAATGAATATCATTTTTTACGACTTATTTGTCCGGAATAAGCCGAATATATGGCTACCCTATTCGAAGCGCAATTACAGTGGCGTCTCGTGTTTTTGCGTTGAGTAAATCGAGAGATAAACTTGGTGTACTCAGAGTCGAGACGGTCGTCACAATCATCGATTTTCCAAGCAACGACAGTCAATCGTTACATATAACGGTTATGTTGTGTAAAATCCTAACTTTACTACAATTTGTATACAGGGTGTTCTTAGGCATGACAACTGGGAAAATTCGTATTATTTCTTTTAGATAACAATACAAAATAATAGATATTTTTACACACTTTTAGTAAAAGATAAAAACATACTTATTTAAGAACAGTAATAAAAGCAAATAAAAATTCTACAATATATGACAACTAACTACATAAATCGTCACACGTAATTTTCATCTCAAGATAAATTGCAATCACTTGAAGCAACATTTCCTCAGGGAATCAATCTTACATTAAATAGGAACTAATCCATTACTATGCGATTCATAACCTCCCAGTGGAAAAGTGCTCTTAAGAATGAATTGACTTCATTGTGTAGTTGACAAAGGCCACACAAAGCGGTACAAAGACGTCTTCAATTATTTCCGTTACATTATAACTCTATAAGCCCTATCCCACGGGCGGACTTGGGACTATCAAGTACTGTTAAGGTGAATTAAAGTGACATCTCGCAATAACGGACCGACGGACAGTTTTTACCGCCCCGTGCCTCACAGCGGTATTCGGAGTCTATCCTTGAATAGCTGATCAAAGTATACTTTTTCTCTGAAGCCCCGGTCCTGTTAGACGGAATCACGGACATTCTAGTTAAGGATTGTAGACTAGAACACGTGTATGGGATGTTGAAGTGTTACGTATAAAAGGTACGGTAAGTTGTTATCTACGTGCTGATAAAAGTTATTTAAAAAGTGATAGGTTTCAAGTTTTTATCAGATCCATACTTTTACATTTCGTAGATAGTTTTCGACATTAGCAAATTTAATTAAAAGCCCCATATTTGTTAACGAGCTCAAACTTTCATTGTGGAATTTAAGCTCACTGCATAAATAAACATTTGGGAATAATTTTATATCTACGAACCTTTACCATTAACTCCTTCATATCCGAATACAGAGATGGAACTGTATGAAATCTATGTAGAAGATGAAAACCTTATGCGTAGATCTCACATACTCCACTTGGAGTAAGGACAGTTATCGGACATCTGAATCTTAACCCCTGAAATGTTCTTATGAAGCACACGCTAACTATGGTTTCTGTTGTGTCAGAAATGAGTTTATACCTCCATGTAATGGATGCACGCTGAGTAGCAGACAGGGATCGTCGCCTGGATCGCGGCAGCAGTCGCGAACGTCGCGCGCGCTCGTCTGCGGCGTCACCGGGACCGCAGTCGCCGACCAACCAGCCCCGCTTTCGCACCACACGCGCACTATTATCTAAAAACAAACAAAGTGTTCATTAAATAGTTGAATTAAAAACATGAAGAAAGAAATTAATTCGTCTTAATAACGTCAACATAATTACCATATATATTACCATATTTATTCAATTGATTATTTTACACTTAATAAACAGTATGTTCCAAAACATAAAATGTTGTAGGAATAAGTTTTAATTTATAACTAATTTCACTTATTTATCACGACATAGCTACACTAGATATGCAACTTTTAAAAGCTTGATACTCGTATGAAGGAGTGAGTCATGAATATTTAAATTCTTTGCAAAGAACTCCAATATACGACCTTAGTAGATCAAGAGGCTTAAGGGGCAAGTTTTATACAAGTATAAAGGCAGTATAAACACTGTTTTAAGTTAAAGACTTTTAGCGATTTTTAATTTTTTATAGAAATAAATAGGGTTAACACTCGGTTTTACCTAACCTAATATAACGCGTAACTTGTGATTGTCAGTACATTGTTTTATCTATTTTAGGTACTCGATGAGAAAAGAAGTTTTGTTATCTAGTGACTTAAAATGCATACAACTACAAAACGTAACTTTTCCTAAAGATAAAAAGTAATTTAAATCGTTAGGCCCTTTTTAGGAACCTGTTGGCCATTTCTAATACGATCAGAACTTGCAAAACACGTTTATTAAACCTTGTTCTATGTCATTATTTTTTATTGATTCGTAATTGAAAAAATATTTATGATTTCATTAAAAAACTATAATATATACACATATATATAACTCAAATTAAATTCATAAAGGCAGAAAAGTCGACACCAGTCCGAGACAGAAGTTGTTGACAAGAATGAGATCCCCAATGCCGCCTTCAAAGTAAATAGCGCTTGAAGTTTTCTAGGAAATTAAATTTGTAATTCTATTATATGTTCTAACATTATTGTGTACTGTTCATCTTTATCTAGAAATCTTGTATTATTCAGTTGGCCAATTAAAAAAATGTATATAGATATTTTAAAGTATATAATTGTGTTCATGTGTGTATTCGAGGTAAAACCCATGTATTACATTACATACATTACATTATTATATAACTTTAGTATGACATATTTTACTTCCAAAAATGCAGAGGAATGGACGGATGTTGTCAAAAAGCATGTATGTAGATCTATAATAGCATTCGGCGATGGTAATCTCGGACAACCTGATGTATATACATAAGTTCGGCAGGCATAAGCAGCGGCGGTTGTATAGACGATATAAAGCGACGAATGGC